TCCCTACAAGTTCAGTGAAAATTAACCAGAAAATTAAAAAACAATTAGCAGTTCACAAGTTTATACTCACTATTCTCAGATATCACAGGCTCTGTAATAGTTCCCGTTCTCACAATTTCTCCCTTTGACATCACCTGCATGACAGAAAAAACCCTTGTGTGAGCAGTGGATGAAAGGAGGAGGAATGTTCACTGTGCAGAGGCTTGAATGTAATTCTACCTTCCCATGAGTGAGAAAGGGACGATGCCACACTACGTTCACTTAGATATGAGGAGTGGAGTAGGGTCTGATAGCCGTGTGGAATGCTGTGCAGTAGTTTGTGATTCTACTTCACCCTGCTGGTGTCCCTGAAAAACTACTAATGCCAAAGGTGGATGGGCGGATCCTTCTCCTTCTCACTGCTTTTTTGTGACTTCATTTTAAGGCTAAGATAATGCTTACAAATGAAGACATGATAATGGTTTTTCAGGGACTCCAATAGGAAAAGAATTAGAGAAAAACAGGACTAGAAGGTGATCATCTAGACCAACCTCCTGCTTAAGGCTAAATTATCCTGGTGTAAACTAGGATCACATTTAGGTGCCTAAGATTACTTAGACACCTACGAGATGGAATAGGATCTGGGCCATAAAGTCCAGACTCTGCCTGGAGTTTACTGAAACTTTATCTGAGACAGAAATGCTCTTTTCTAGTGCACACAAATAAGTAAGCAATTTGACATTAAAGGATCTAGAGACCCTTGCCTGCCTCCAATCTCTTCATCCAGTCCCACGTGTTGTCTGTCTTCATCTGCCTGTTGTCCACATTTGATTTCTGTAGGTCTGACAATACCTCATATATATCCATGTTTCTATACACTTAGTTAGTCATAGGTCAAGGGGCTAAATGTTCTTCTCAGCTCGTTCCATCCATGCTGGGACGCAGTGTGGAGCTATATCAGCATCATTTTCACAGGCTGGTGTTACAACCTGAGTGGAGCAGGCAGGAAGGCACAAAGAGTACCTGTACATCTGCAGGGATGCTGCTCCAATGTGTTGTAATTACAGTGTCAGAGCACACTCGATTAATTGAGCCTGCTGAGGCATGCTAATTAGCGTGCTCCGGCAGCATCCACATCTCGTGTATTCGGTGTCCCTGCACTTCTAAATGGTGATGGGGCGCTTTAACTAAATCTTGTTGAACGAACAAGGCACAAAGAGTACCTGTACATCTGCAGGGATGCTGCTCCAATGTGTTGTAATTACAGTGTCAGAGCACACTCGATTAATTGAGCCTGCTGAGGCATGCTATTTAGCGTGCTCCGGCAGCATCCACATCTCGTGTATTCGGTGTCCCTGCACTTCTAAATGGTGATGGGGCGCTTTAACTAAATCTTGTTGAACTAACATTAATTAAAACCCCCCCACTGCCATTTTGAAGTGAGGGATGCTGAATACATGAGATGTCATGTGTGCTTTAATTAAAGGGGCTCTTGGAGCTGCTCTGACTTAAGTGCATACCCCCCAGACCATGTGTAAAGATGCCCCAAGGCTATAAGAGGGAGGAGCTTGGAAAGCATTGGTCTATTTCAGGGGCGGGCAATTATTTCGGGTGGAGGGCCACTTACCAAGTTTTGGCAAGCTGTCAAGGGCTGCATGGGTACCCCTACCCCTTGACAGGTGCCCCGCCCCCTTGTCACCATCTTGGGATCAGAAGTCCTACCCTCTAACCCCCGACTTTTTCTACCAGAAGTCCCTCCCCTTGCCCCCAGAAATACTCCTTTCAGCAAGGGGTTTTTCCATCTTGGAACCAGAAAAGTACAAAATTATATTCTAAAAAGCAAACAGCTACAACATTCATTAATTTGATTTCAAAAAATATTTTTGTCCTGATTTACATGTGTTTGTGTAGTGTACATAGAGGTGATTGCACAATAGCTTAAAATGGAGTCTTACTTTTGTAAACTGTGGGAGGGGTGGAGAAGATGAGGGATATATGTTTGTAGGGGGCTGTGGGTATGTGGCGGGGGTTGTGGGGGGTGGAAAGGTGTGTGGGGAGTGGGTGTGGGGTGAGGGAGCATGGGGGTGTATGCGGATATGTGGGGAACTGTGTGTGGGGGGAGTGTGGCTGGGTTGTGTGAGGGGGTGTGGGTGTGGGCATCTGCATGTATGGCAGTGCAAGGGAGCTGTGGGTGCATGTGTATGATGGGGGGTCCTTTGGGACTCATTCTATTAATACACACACACACACACACACACACACACATGCTCTCACTCTCCTTCCATCATTACTGTGTCTCTCTCTACCCCCCTCCCTCATTGCATGGACACACACAACCCCCCGCCCCCCCCCCCACACACACACATACACTGTTCGTCCCTCCCTCATTACATAGGGAGACAAACATGCGCACACACACACCCCCTCCTGCTCCTGGCCCTTCAGTGAAGCAGGGAAAGCGGCTGTAGGCAGAGGCTTTTTTTGAGGGCAGGGGGGGCAGGTGGGAGGGAACTGGGGGTGGTGCAGGGCTGGGCTGACCTTTCTTCTGGGTCCTGCCGGCTTCCCCTGGGTCCTACTGTCCCTGGCTCCTGTCATTTTTGACAGGCAGCAGGAGCAGATAAATACTAATTATCTAAACTTTTTAGGTGCCACATGAGCCAGATAGAATGGCCTGGAAGGCTGGATAAGGCCTGCGGGGCATATTTTGCCCACCCCTGGTCTATCTGCATGTCTGGAATGCTAGCAGGGAGTGCAGCACCTCTGTAAAAAAGTTCTCTCAATACAGAGACTCTTTACTTTTATGAAAATGGGTTTTTTCCATGCTGTCACCCTGACACTGCAGCTGTGCAGAGAATAGTGCACCCAGGAAAGAGAGGAGACTCTGTAAACCTCTGGAAATATCAACCTGACCCTGTGCAGGACAGCTGCTGAGCTCTGGTGAAGTGGAGGAGCACGGCCTTTTTAAGTAAAACTTGTGGTAAAGAGCTGAGTGGCAAACTAAGCAGAGTGTGAATCACCCAGATGTGAATGATCAGGGACTGTACGCTGCAGCACCAAATGTTCAGAAAATGGGAATATCAGCACACAGCCATCCCCGTAATACCCAAAAGCCATGGGAAGTAAGTGTCACCAGTAAGGACAGCCAAGAGACTGATGGCAGAGGCTAGAAGTCTGGAAGAAGTGTGGTTGGAAGAAGGCTGGTTGGAAGTAGAGAAAAGAAGGCTGAGAGGGCAGGGATTTTATAGCAGGCTTCGAATAGCTGAAGAGTGGTTATAAAGAGGATGATGATAGAATACTCTGTGGCCACAAAGGACAAGACGAGGAGGAGGGGGTCTTAGATTGCAACAAGGGATATTTTGGTTGCATATTAGAGAGGATTTTCTAACTCTGAGAGTGGTTAAGCATGGAATCATCTAGAGAGGAGGTGAGATCTCTATCCTTGGACATTTTAAAAGCAGATTAGACAAGCACTTGCCTGGGATGCTTTAGACAGGGATGATCCTGCCTTGAGGGGGCTGGACCTGATGTCATCTCTGAGGTCCTTTCCACCTCTACTTTCTTGTGATTTTATGAAAAAAAGACAGAAAGGTCCAATGCTGGACCATTGCAGCAAACCCTGCTAGGGCTGAGACAGAAACACAGCACAAGGACCAATGATCTGGGGAACCCAAAATGTTCTTTATGAGAGCTAACATGCTGCAGCCCAAATAATCAATGATAAGCAGGGCACAGAAAGATTTAAAGAATATGTCAAGCAAGGGAAGCAGCCCCTACAACAAAGGAGCCACAGACGTGATGCCACCAGACACAGGCAGCAAGTGCTAGTCCAACCTCCTAGGAGCCATGCACAAAATGGCACATGCAACTGTTTCCGACGTGGAGTGTGAGCTACAGATTCATGACAGCAGTGGGGATGACACTGAAGGCAACTGTGCAAAAGTGGCAGACGTCAAACTCACTCAGACTTATGGGGCCCAGGCCAGTTCCTTTGGGAGCTTCAGATGTTTGATATGGAAGGGTTAGAAGATACAAGGTATCTAAGCCACGCAGAGAACCAAAAGGACATAGCCTAACACAATGAAGGCAGCAACAGGGTGGCAGCAAGATGCTCTCCCCCCACCACAAGTGGGAACAGCAACAGTAAGCAAGAGACCGACTTCAAGATCAACACATGTGAAAGACTATAAGATCTAAAAGTCTGCAATAAACATTCAGTCAAGACTATGCCTCTTAGGGTGGGCTATGTACTAATAACCAGTGGCTCTACCATGTCAGACAAAAACTGCACTCCAGCCACAGGAGAAGGGTGTAAAGGACTCTGGGTCACAATTCCATAGTCCCCTGCTACAGGTAGTACATTTGAGTTCTGGCTGCTTTTCACGTTAATGGCTTGGGGCTGATTGCCTGGTATGCAGGAGAGCGCTGTACTGTACCGCAGCAATGTCTGTCAGCTGTGTCACACACATGCAGGCTTACCAAATAGTAAAAGGTGATTTCCTCCTCCTCTCCCACAGCCTCTGGTGTCAGGATGTAGTGCACACGCACCTCCAAGTCAGAGTCGCAGGGTAATGTCTCGGGCTGGGGCTCAATTTTAAGGAAACTCTTACTTGGGGAATAAAACCGAGTTGCACTGTGACTGGCAGTACCATATTCAGGAACGACCCAGTTACTATCGTAGCAGTACTCTGTAGATTTATGTCTTGCCTGAAAAAGAAGAATAACATCTTTAGCAATGATCAGAAAGTGGGTAAAGGGTAGCATGCAATTGCATAAGGCAAACCACATTTTTTTTTTAAATGGTCTTGGTAGATTTTGAAGTTTACAATATAGTAATCCTACAGTGACCTTTCTTCTGTGGGGATAAATAGGGGAAAGAAGTGAAGGGCCAGACAGGAAGCATATGCAGGAGACAGGGACACAAAAGATTTACAGAGGGTGAGGGAAAGGAAAGCAAAATTCCCAGACAAAACTCTTCATTTCCTCTTCTGATAAGCAAATAGCTGAATAATCACATGGATTTTTCCCAGGGAGCTCATTCAAAGGTATCTTCAGTTGCCTAGCCACAGACCTGGATATTAATGGAGGCAGCTGTGAAGTTTGTAGTGTCTATGGAAAACCAAACAGTTCCTTGCTCATCTGTTGTGTAGTTGCGATCAATCTTGTCCCCAGGCACATAAAGCTTGATTGTTTCATTGGCCAAAGGAGCATTTGATCCATCCACCATCTTCACCTAGAGGAGAAATAAGCAATTGCTGCTGCTTATACCAGGTAGGGAAACACAATCCCACAATTTTAAGGGGCACTTGCCCTAAGTACTTCTCTTCTGTGGTTCCAGAGGGTGCTTCCTGGGGAGCAGAACAAGGGGCAGGCATGTGTGATCATGTGACGTACCACAGGGGAGATGGCGCAGCCTCACACCGTTTGATTAGGAACATGGGAATTAAAGTACCGAGCCTGGCCAATGGGCCTCCTACTCTGCCTATGAGAGTCTCCACGGCTTCCCAGGAAAGCAACAGGATCCTCTTCAATGACAATGTTGTATCGACACCCTCAGTAACCACAGTTTGGAATGCTCTTCTGCATGGTTGAACATACTGCAAGTCCTGGACTCTCAAGGGCTCCCTACCTTCCCGTAAAAGAAGATTCCTGGTCTGTAGTGAGAGTCCACGTATTCAAAGCTGATTTTGCTCATGACATTTGTGATTGCACAGGAGCCTGTTCCAGTTAGCTCTACCCCTGTAAAACAGCACAGCAAAGAAGGTTTATTAATGAATGCATCTTGGTTCTCACCTACAGCACCTCCAGTACTCCTTTCCTGCCTTCCCACCTAACAGGCCTTTGCCTTTTCCTCTCCTTTCAGACTGGCAGCCCCACTGGCTATAGCAGAGCTGCCCTACAATGCTACTAAGACAGTATGATGCATACCTGTCCCCTCTTCTGTGATCTTGCCTTGCACTTCAATATTCATGTGGTACCCTGTTCGGTGGAGTTGGAATATCTTGGTCTTTATCACATTGGAGACACAGCCACGTGCATCTGCCTGAACAGGGGAGAAAGGAGGAAACAGGATAATTCCTAATCAATACATGGCCTCATGGAACAGGATCTCTCCATGCCCAAGGCACCTGCCTGCTGCTTGGTTTAATCCCATCATCTTACTGGCCTGGTCTTGCTTGACTCCCTCATTTCCCTTGTCTCCAAGAAGACCACGTAACTGCTTAAAGTACCCTGTAGATAACCAAAAAATGGCCACCAAGGTGACTTGGAAACAACAGAAGGCACTTTTACATGTGCTCCAACGCGTTCTTATCAGAATGCATTGGAGCTGATTCAATTAATTGAGTCTGCTGGAGCGTTTTAACCAGTGGGCTGCAGCGTCTCATGTTTTAAAATGGCAGTGGGGGGATTTTAACAAAAGCTCATTGAATAAGCTTTAGTTAAAACACCCCCACTGACATTTTGAAATGCGAGATGCTGAATCACTAATTGCTGCAGGCATTTTAGAGCGGCTCACAAGAGCCACTCTAATTAACACCCCCACCCAACCCTGGAGCATGATTAGGCACTTATAACGTCACCCTGGGTTTCCTGATTTGGAGGCTGCATCCCCTCTTTTAGAAACTGCCCATCAGTGTGGTGTCTGTCCTTGTCTGTCTGCTTTCCTTAGAAGTCTCTTTCTTTCTTTCTCTCATTGAGCATTATTTCTCCCTTTTCCTCCTCTTGCTTTTGTTGTCCTCCACTCATGCCTTTTCCTGCTCGGTTCCCTTTGTCTCTCACACATGGATATTTCCTTCTCCCACTGCACATTCTCTCTCTCTCCCCTAATCCACCTTTGCTCTTTCTTTGTGTTTCCCTTTCTCTTTCTATTTTCTCTGCCTCCTCCTTCTCTCTCATTCTCCTTCCTCTTGACTTCTTTTTCTTCCACGTTTCATACTTCCTCCTTGTTTTCTCCTTTTCTGCTTTTCTCTCTGTTTCCCAGCTGTTCCAATCCCTTCTTCATTCAAAAAAGCCTTTCCAGTTCTCTTTTTGATTGCCAGGGAGAAAATCTCTGAGCCAGAAACCTGACCTCACTAACATCAACAGGAGTGCTGCCATTTATTTTAGTGGGGCCAAGTTTCACCCCCAAGCTATTTCTCATATTCCCAAGCCAGGATTTTATCTTTTCCTAAACAACAAATTATATCTGTGATACAGAGCAGACCCCTGGCCAAGTGGTGCTACAGGGATCTAACAATCTATATGTACAGGACCATCAGCACTCACCGGCTGGGTGAATTCCTCACATACTGCGTTTTCCCTTTCTCCATAGCAGTGTGACCTGGGACTGGAAAACTTCCGGCATACACGGACATTTACTGCTCCAAGAACAGGTTTCCCATAGGTGTACCTGTGCAGATGGGGGTGAAAGGAAACTCACAGTGACTGGAGGAGGAAACAAAGACACAGACAGACAGAAGTAACGTTGTCAGCCAGTTTATACTTATCCCCCAGGTGGCTTCCTAATGTCTATTGTTCAGCATTTCATTCATCTTATTTTTCTTTGATACAGGTGAAGGAGTTTCCACCATTTCCCTTGGAAAACTATTCCTTTATGCATCGGACCTTACCCAATCAAAATCATTTGTCCCTTAAACAGCTTGGTCTCTATTTGACTATTTCCCTCCTATTTGCCTACATCTTTTGGACATGATCTCACCCCACCTGTGGGACTTAGGAGATAGTGAATTAACTTGTGCAGTGACAACCTCGGTGAGGGGCCTCCCTATAACCATACAGAGAGGGGTCGTCACTACCTATCCCTGTGATAGAGTGTTCCTAGAAAATTATGCTCAGTTCTGGGCATCTCTTTACTAGAAAGTCATTCACAAACTGGAGGAAGTTCAAAGAAGTGTAGATGAAGTGATCAGGGCCTACAGGGAGTGATTTATGAGGAAAGGACAACGGTGTTATATTTGCAGAGCCTAGTTCAGGGATATTTAAGTAGGGATGTGATATCCATCTATGACTATCTGAAGGACAGGGAATGATTGATAAGTATATTGCATTGAGGTCTGATGAAGGAGAATGGAAAGGGGAATTTTCAGCTACATATTTCTAGAAGGTTGTGGCATCACATCCTGAAGGAAAGGGACAAGACTCATCTCCTGGCAGATTTATAAAAAAAATCTATGAATGAATATGCAGGGAGAGATGATGCAGCACTGGGGTCCTGGCGTGGAGGGAAGTTTGATGCAAAGGGTCTTTTCCCACTCTAGATTCCATGCTCCTAAGGAGGAAGAAAAGGATGGGCACGCAGGTAGGAACTCTTTTACTCACAGACCACAGACGGACACTTGCAGTTCCTCCTCATTGATAGTGATCACCTTGGGCAGCTTCACCAGCACTTCAAACCTGGGCAACACTGGAGAGAAAAGAAGTAGATCAGAAGCTGAACAACAAGGAGGACTTTGGTCTACAATGCTCTCATTTCCCTACTACGTAAAAAGCCCAGGAACTCCCCCTCCTCTTCTACCCCACACCCTCAGAGCCAGGCTCTCAGCCTTTAATAAACCATCATGGTCCCATGACCTTCACTGCAGCTCTGCCAGCTTACACCTGCTAAGGATCTGGACCACAGATCAGAAAACTGTGGAGAAAGGTACACTCAACTTTGCTCCCCAGCCTGGTTCCTTGCCCTTCACTTCGTAATAAGAATTAGACAAATCATGAACAGCCATACACCCGAGTAGCTTACTCAGATATGGTGTAGAACTACCCTGGGAAAATTCAAAGGTAAAACTACACCAGGGTAAGCTATACTGATGTCAGTATCATCTGTTTCCAGCTTATTCAAGGGTTGCCATTTGTGGCAAACAGGCTGTTTCTTGCTGCCCTGATGCCCAGTGAAGACGTGCTCTAATAACACTTACTTCATGCACCTCCCCATAGATGGCTGCATGTAGGATCCCAAGAAATAAGATAAGTTACTTTGGGTAAACACATTGTCTTTCCACATCCTCAGCAAAGAATGCACACAATTAAAAGGATCAGATTCACTGGCTTGTTCTGGCTGTTTTGCGCTGTTCAAGTGATGCAAAGCAGCAATTGTCCTGGCTACTTTGCATCACTGTGAACTGACAGAAGCAAGGCATGAGCTAACATGGCCTGAATATTAAGCCTTACCTTCCAGGTATCCATGCATCAAAAAAGTGCGATAAAAATTATTCCAAGAAATGTAAAAAACATCTGTTATTCCCTACCTAAGGTCACAGGAAAGTAGGGCTGGAAGGGAATTTACAAGGTCATCTAGTTCCGCCCTCTGCTCAAGGCAGGATCATCCCTGACTAAACATCCCAGCCAAATGTCTGTCCAACCTGCTCTTAAAAATTTTCATGGATTGAGAGTTCTCAGGTTCTCTAGGTATCCTGTTCCAGTTGTTGACCAGCCTCATAGTCAGAACATTCCTCTTATGTACAACCTAAATTTCCTCAGCTTCAGCTTGAGGTCATTACTCCTACTCCTGCAGCCACAGAGAAAAGCCCATCTCCATCTCTCTATAATCAATCACTCTTCAGATATTTGAAGACTGTTACAAAATCTCTCTTACTCAGTCTTCTCTTCTCCAGACTAAATAACCTGAGTTCTTTTATCCTTTCCTCATATATTTTGCCTCCCAGGCGCCTAATCATTTTTGTTGCTTGGCATTGGACTCTTTCCAATTTGTCCACATCATTCTTGAAATGTGGGGCCTAAAACTGGACACAGTACTCTAGGTGAGGCCTCACCACTGCTAAATACAAGAAAAGAATCGCTTCCCATGATTTGCAAGGGACACTCCTGCTCATAAAATCAACATGCTGTTGGAGTTTTTTTGGCAATAAGAGCACATTGTTGGCTCATATTCAGCTTGAAGGACAAGCTGTAATTTCTCTCTTCTTGAATGATTAGTGGCAATCACAACAACTAAGTTTGCCAAGTGCCTTCATCAATAATTTATCTCCCTTTCTGGCTTCATTTTCACTTCCTCGTGCAATTTCCAAAATATTTTCTCTTGAAGCAGAAGTTTTCCATGCTTGATTTCCAGCCAGAAATATTTTAAAATAAGGTTTAAGGCTGGAAGGAAAAAAACCAAACAAATTGCATTGAAAGAGCACATGAGGGACAATGCATGCCACCGTAACACAGCATTAGCTTGGCTTGCTTTGCACCCAATACAGTGTGTTGCACACAACAAGCATGAAAAGCATTAGACAAAAATAAAGGGCATAGCACTGCACACTGAGACTATAGTCACCACCCAAATCCAGGAAGCCTGAAAGGTGGGCCTTGTGCATTAGTTTCCCAGCACAGCCAGGATTACAACAAACAGTGACCCTGGTGGTTTCAAGAGCTAGACAGGAAAAGCTACATGCCACCAAAGGCAGCTACTGTTTTGACAGTTATCTCTGTTTTCTGCTTACCCGATGCCACACCCAAGGGACCTCTGAATTAAGAGCCCACCCCGGCCAGCATCCTACTCCCCTTCCTCACCGTATTCCTCCACAGAAAAGGAGTGTTCTACGTTTTCCAGCGAGTCCTTCTGCACCACCACTTTGTATTGCCCTTGGATGGGCTCCGAGGTGAGGGGGAAGGAGAGCTGGATGAGGCCCCCAGTCAATTCCACCCCTTGCCACTGGTACACACGGTTCCTCTGGGGATCCTGGAAGAAGGACACAAAGTATCTGAGCCATTCAGTTACCATCAGAGAAACTGCATGGCAGGAGGCTCACAGGGACTGCATAGGGGTGATACATTGTCAGGTACAAATGCAGTAAATGCACTATTAGTTGCCTCAGCTATGGTGAAGGGCTGCATGCCCAGCTCATTCGTTCCCTGTTGTAAATATTCAGACCTCTGGCAGGAGTTGCAGAGAGGGGCACTCATCCACTAAATCCTGTGCAACTGAACATGCAGATAGCACCACTTGAACACGTTCAACTGTCTGTGCCTCCTCACCCGCTCCTCGACACAGACCCAGCCCATGCAGAGAGGAGAAAGGAAGGTGCAAGGCTAGACAGAGGAAGCCATGATAACATGGCGGAGAGGAAGCCAGAGAGAGGGAGGAAGCTGAAACGAGCCCCTACTTGTCGTGCACAAGCTGCAGGCTAGATTTCTCTGGGTCAGGATTTTCACTGTGAGGACTAGGGATCAATGTTGCTGAAGAAGGAGGTGCACAGCTTGCGACAGGCTGAGGAAATCCTTCCCCAGACAGAGGCAATGGGCTATGGGAATGCTACTTGCACTGGCCTTAGCCAGTGGGGCTCAAAGTACAGCCTGCTGGCAGGATCTGGCAAATGGGGTCGGTCTACAGACCTAGTCCTGCATGCCAGTATCCAGCCTGCAGACCGACTGCGCCCCACTCATCCAGCCTGCATGCCAGGAAGGTTGAACACCACTGGTTCTGGCTGTATCTGTGTGTGGGCTGGGACCAATGCTCTGGAGTGCACTGGGAGGGAGTGCTGGGGAGGGGGCAGGGTGTAACTGGACAGATAAGACCATCATTTTGCATCCAGGTCAGAACTTTCTCTCCCGGGCTGTGGAGGAAGGCTGAGTGCAAGCCTGGAGCCCAGAGCTGAAACCCCATCTTTGGAAAAGCGGAGGATTAGTCATTATGAATTACTTGTTAATAAACCAAACCAGACCTGCCGTGGCCAGCTCTTAGCCTGGTTCTGAATTCTACGCTCAGCCCAAATTGAGCAGACAGCAACAATCAGAGTAAACAAGAGATGTACACAGAAGGGCATACCCTTTCCAGGCCCCTCAGCAACTGGGTTAATGTTCACTATCTCCCATTTTCCCTGTTTAATCTGTCATCTGGGTTGCCTTCAAAAGTCTGTTTACTCTAGATAGCCTGGGGTGAGTGACTGCTGATGGACTGGATTCACTTCACTGAAATTTTATCCAGCAGCCAGGTAAAAGGGGATGTGAATGACACCCCAGTGCCAGGTCAGGGAGAAGGGGTGAGAGAGCAGGCTTCCCCTCCTCCCCCCACCCCTTGCACCATGAGGCACAGTAGCACCCTTAGGTAACAAGCCCCACAGCCCTGCCACAATCACTGCCCCACAGCACATGAAAGCCTGCAGTCCAGCTTGCCTTGGACAAGGATGAAGTGACCTTACCACCAAGGGCTGCAAAACTGCAGAAAATGTTCATGATACTTGGGCTTTTCTGTCTTTATGCCTCATTTATCCTTCCCCCCAATTAAGCTTTCCCCCTTTCCTATATATTCTTTTCACCCTCAGAAAGGGTTGGAATAGCTGCTTTTAAGATACAGCTTGATCCATTTTTCAAAGGGATTATACAATAGGGTTTTCTTCAGGAGGCAGGAATCCCCATCTTGCATCCAGTCTCTCCTGGATGCAAAAATACGAGAGCAATTGTTTTGTTGCAAAAAACTCATAAAGACCACAGAAGGGCAGACTGCTCTTGACACTATGGATTCCTATTTGAAATCTCTGGGTTTATCTTACGACTCATGTGTGCACACCTAAGAGTCCTAATGCTGCATGACATCTTCTGGCATCCTTGAAAGGATCTCAAGGCACCCCAATGTGCCGCAGCACCCTGGTTGGGACTCACACTGATCCAGAGCTTGTCTATCTACATAACTGATACTGCTTTATGTATGACAGTATAATTTAAATGGTACAATTTCTTTTCTAGTTTAAATCCAATCATAAAATGATATCATGGTGCCTTATACCAGTAAGGCTTACTTCAGTGCAGGAAGAGGAATTACCTATGCTGATATAAAGCAAACTTTCATAGGCGTGGTGAAGTCTGTGCAAGGGGGCACACTGATGTACCTAGTGCATTATAAAAGCAAACCCCTTAATCCAGTAGTTACAGGGGTAGTTAATTTGTGCAAAACAGCCCTTATTTTGACAAGCTAACCATTTTAAGCCCTCTTTAAATGATTTAAAGCAGTATAACATGTCACACATCCATCGTTTTTCCTGTGCAGCTCAAGTGCTGAAGCTGGGTGGGATATGAGAGCTGGAACCTCTGCCACTATAAATGCCCTCCCTGATTTGCTGCCCACGTTCACATCCAAGGGGCAGCTCTGGCTTTAAAGCTGAGAGTGGTGAGAATAAAAGTAAATTCAGCCACTTACCTGAATGTAGGCTAAAGGAAACTGTAGGGAAAAAAACACAGAAATCCAGAGTGAGAAATAAAGGTTAGTCTTGTATGGAAGTCAGCTACAGTACATTTTTGCTTTCCTTCCCTTAGCATTGTGTCTTTCCCTTGTTCTGAATTATCTCAAGGCAAACACCAGTAATGCTGTCTAATATTTTTAACCCAAACTGGTTAAGTTGACACAGCTGTGATTTTTACCACCGTCCTTTTAGTTTAGAGATTTTGGGGTGCCATTTTCCAAAATGGGGTGGAGGCTGAGGAGGTTAAGAGCCAGCCTACCTGGGGAAGTTACTGCAAACAAGCTTGGGTGTGAAGTTAAGGGCTAGGGGCTGTTTCTCCCTAACTCCAGCTAAGAACACTTCTGTGCAGTTTCACTTATTCCACTTAATCCATCAAATTCAATGGAAATTATGGGCTGCTTACATGCTTTTGAAAATCCTTCTTGAGGCTAGATTTAAAAAGGTCTTTAAATGCTCTAGTCCCCTTTTTGTCACATTTTACTTGCTTTTTTATACCAAGCCTGATTCAGTGTTGCCCTGACTAAACAGTGATGCACTTGCAAAACCTTAGGTATTTCTGTGCCCAGCTGTAGCAGAAGTGAGAACATAGTTTTAGACAGTACATTTCGCTACTGCATTTGCCCATAATGTCCAACATTTTGACTGAGATACACATAAATACTCATGTGGTGAGCTGAAGGCTTTGGGGAAGTCAAGATCTGTATATAGGTAATTGTTTTTTTCAGGGTAGAAGACCTACAGATCCCATTTCAACTTTGCATTTCAAACCAGAGTGAGGTTTGATGCAAGATGCACGACACAATGGCAAGATACAAGACAACCCAGCTGAATGAGTAAAATGCTGCAACTGCAGAGCCAATAATGGACTTGTAACAATGATCCCAAGTGAGAAAAACCTCAAGACAGTCTCTCAGACCTGCTTTTCATCCTGGTGGTATCTAAACAGTTCAGAAAATTACACAGGACAGTAGGCTGAGACCTAGTTCAACAAGGAGCCAATCAGAGCATCAGTGCCTAGGGGTGGGGAGTTCACTTTGAATATTAATTATCAGCAATGCTCAAGATGGAGCTGCAGGGACCTCCATAAGTGGATTTAGACTCCTGAATCGATGAATGGAGAGAGATGAGGAGTAAAACACACGAGGAGTAAAAGGGCAGCACAAGGTTGGGGGCACCAGCCTTGGGTGTTCATTTAGAAGTAGGCAAGAGCGATAGCCACTGCTGCCACTGCCCGCTCAGCCACTGCCACTGCCCCTGCTTTCCAGGGTGCAAAACCTACTGGTTATGCCTCTGGGGCAGCATTTGTTTTAGATCATGGATAGAAAAGGTTCCTCAGAAACTGCAGAGGACTCTGAGGGGGTCATCATCATTCATATATCATTTTGCTTGCGGTTAATGAGGAGTGAGGATCACAGCCCTACCTTCTTGTTCAGGGGCCGGAAGTCGTTGTCCAGGCAGACGATCCGGAACAGAACTGAGGGAGAGAGGAACAGAGGGGTTTTTGCTGTTAACGTTGCAGCCACTCTTTCTGCAACCATCAGCCACTATATCAGACACTTTGCATACTCCTAACCTGATGGCAATGCCTGCTGGGCAGGTGGCAGAGATGATACATGTACCCCATGCTTCCGGCTTTGTCATCAGGTGGGCAGCAACATGAGGATGGTTTGCTGTGGGCTCTGCTAAACCCTGGGCTTCCCAGCACCCTGGGCTTCCCAGCACAGATCGGATGTTGGGGGATGTTGGGGGTCTAGAGAAGGAGAAGATCCCCCTCCTCTGACTGGGACTACCTACCCAGCTCCCCGTACCTTTCTGTCCTGGTTTGTAGATGGGTTTGTCCGTCTGAACAAAGACCAAGCTCTCCGGGTCTGTCACCAGCACAGATTTTCGGCTCTGGTACTTCAGTGTCAGTCCCTTCACCAGCACACTGAGAAATGCCTCTGCCGTGCTATTCAATCTGGGAAGCTGCAGAACGGTGAGAAAACAGCTACATTAGTAACCCACCCTGCTGCATGCAGCCGCTGGACGCTAGAGATTTTTATGGCCTGAGAAAAACAGTCCTCTAGAATCACCCAGTCTGGTTTCACCCTGGATCCTACAAGACTTTTCCTCTCCCTCCCCACGAATGCCTTCTCTATTCCACTGACATCTCTCTAATGGTGGTATAGCTGCCCCCACCTTTCTTGTGAGTCTCTGCCCTGCCACCTCTCCTGTCTCCCAGGATGGTGCCTCCATCTCTTCCCAGTAGCTCGCAGTTTCAAGAAGTTTATCCCAGTGTCTTAAGTTGAGTTTTTCTTTGAGGCTATCACTCCTCACACTACCTTCTTTCATCACTAGGAGTGATTTCTCTTCCCTCTTTTATATTCTTATTGCCAGGGATCAGGTCCTAACAGCTGTGGTACCCAATGATTTATGCTAACAGGAAGTTTCTCCCCATGAATTATTCCAGTGCTGGGTTCATGTTCTCATGCTCTTCAGCAGCCAGCCTTGTGTGCTACAGGGAACAATTATGAACTGGCCCCATAGGGAGGGAAAAGTACAGCTCATGAGCTTCTCTTTCTAGGAACTTCTCTGATTTCTTCAGTGCTCCTGCTGGTTCTTCCATTTCAATTTTACCCTGAGGCTAATAGAGACCCCTAAGAAATGGGGTGTCATACCTTAAGTTTTGGATTGGCTTTGTTCAGCAATCCCACCACAGAGCCATGCCCACCCTGTCTTGTAGCAGGCATTTCCCAGCAGCATTCTGGAGCATTTTGTTCAGAATGGACTGAGGAAAATCAGGCCTCAAGCATTACCCACACAACTTCCTGCAGCAACCTCAGCTTTCCTTGAAAGTCTCCAACCTCAGGCTCCCATAGGGTGTGTATATACAACACATTTACCTTGTAGTAATTTACCCTGGATTTTACTTTGCATTAAATACATCTTGCAGTCAGGAGTGGACATGGGACCAGGTCTCCCAAGCTGGCTTCCCTAAGTAGGTGCTATTCCAGCATTTGGCACCCAGAGCACCTCCACCTCACCTGGAAAGGGAAGAAGCTCTTCTCGGCCAGAATGGCTGACCTACTCAACAGGGCTTTAAACTAAGATCACTGGAGGACGGGTGGTCAATTAACAGCTCTAGTCTAGGTCATGCCAGTCACAATAGTAACAGCTTAGGTAGCTCAAGGGAACCCACTCAGACGAGAGCCCAAGAAAAGGTCACATCCCATCACATAAGGAAGCCTACGGCTTCCCATGGCAGACTCAACTGCCTGTACACAAATGCCAGGAGCTTGGGTAACAAGCAAGAAGAGCTGGCCCTTCTCCTGACCGATAAAGATTATGAGCTCGTAGGGATAATGGAGACATGGTGGGACTCCTCCTACACCTGGTTGGTAGGTATAGAAGACTATAACCTCTACAGGTGAGATCGTGTTGGGAAGAGGAGTGGGGGCGTAGCTCTCTATGTCAAGGAGCAGTACACTTCCCTTCCAACTGAGTTCATTAATCATGGAGGGCGTCTTGAGACACTCTCAGTTAAAATACAGGAGGAGCATGGGGAAGGGGGTATATTCATAGGAGTCAATTACAGACCTCCAAACCGAGAAGAACTGGATATTGAATTCAATAGGGAACTGGCCAAGGCCACACGTTCCTGATGTATGATCACCATGGGAGACTTCAACCTCCCTGACATCTTGTAGGAAGAGCACATGGCCAGGTCTGACTGATCACGTAACTTCCTCGCCTGCACTGACGACCTGTACCTGATGCAAGAGGTCTATGGGCCAACTAGGGGAGAAGCACTGCTGAGTCTGGTTCTGGCCAAAGGGGATGATCTGGTGAGTGATCTGAGGATAGAGGGCAAGCTTGGTGACAGCGACCATGATCTGATTACTTTCTCTGTCCAACTCAGGTTGGGCAAATCCCTCAGTAAAACAAATATCCTCAACTTTGGGTAGGCTGACTTCCACAAACTTAAGAAACTGGTCAGTCAGGCACTAAGGGACCATGGCCCCCTAGGAAGGGGAGTCCATAAGGAATGGCTGTTCCTAAAGAACTCAACGCTCAAGGGAAGTCCGTCCCGTACTGCATGAAATGCAGTCAGAGGTCAGGGAAGCCCCTTTGGCTCAACAGGGAACTTCTGAGTCTCCTGAAACAAAAAAGAGAAGCCTACACCAGATGGAAAACTGGAATCATCACCAAGGAGGGCTACTCAGCACTAGCCTGTACCTGTAGGGAGCGGTCCAGAAAAGCCAAGGCAGCAACCAAACTCAGGCTAGACACCAAAATCAAGGATAACAAAAAGTCATTCTTCAGATATGTGGGAAGCCAGAGGAAGAACAAAAGCAACATTGGCCCCCTGCAAGATCAAATGGGGGAGTTGACATCTGACGCCCAAGAAAAGGCTAATCTCCTAAACGATTACTTTGCATCAGTTTGCCACCTGCCCAAGGGGGTCACACTGTCAGCCAGGACGCACAGCATCCAGGCCTCGGGAGATGGGTCCACAGTTGATGTAGATTAGGTGAGAGAACACCTCAAGAGACTTGAATATCCGTAAGTCCACGGTCCTGGATGGATTGCACCCAAGAGTCTTAAAAGAGCTGGCAGACATCATAGCATGCCCTATGGCCAAGATATTTGAAAGCTCATGGTGCTTGGATGATGTACTGGAAGACTGGAAATGAGTCAACGTGGTACCAATCTTCAAGAAAGGGAGGAAAGAAGATCCAGGGAATTACACTCCTATCAATCTGATGTCTATCCCTAGAAAGATCTTGAAGAAAATTATCAAGGGATCCATCAGCAACAGGCTAATGGAAGGCAACCTACTGAAAGACAGCCAACGTGATTTTATTACTAGAAGGTCTTGCCTGACCAACCACATCTACTTCTATGACCACATAATGCATTGCCTGGACAAGGGAAATGAGGTTGATGTCATTTATCTGGATTTCAAGAAGGCCTTTGACTTGGTCTCCCATGATGTCCTCATGGTTAAGCTGGAGAACTGTGGCCTCAACCATCTCACGGTCTGATGGCTGGGAAGCTGGCTCCCGGGTCAGACCCAAAGGGTACTAGTTGATGGGAACAAATCAACATGGCGCAAGATTACCAGTGGAGTCCCCCAGGGCTCAGTGCTCGGGCCTGTACTCTTCAATATCTTCATTAAGGATCTGGATTTGGGTGTTAGATGTGGACTGGCAAAGTTCACAGAAGACACTAAACTATGGAGGAAGGTGGTTACACTGGAGGACAGGCTGGGGATACAGGTCGACCTGAACATGCTTGTAAAGTGGGCGGACCAAAACCTGATGGCATGTAAAATAGAGACATGCGGGGTGCTCCACCTTGGGAGGAAAACCAGCATCATACTTATAGGCTCGGTGGTGCTACGCTTGCTAGCACCATGACCGAAAGAGACTTGGGGGTCTTGATTGACCACAGGATGAACATGAGCCACCAATACGATGCTGTGGCTGGGAAAAAAAAGCAAACTCTGGGATGCATCCCCCAATGGCTCCCACCAATGCATCTGAAACAAAACCAGGGACATCATCCTCCTGCTTTATTCAGCGCAGTAATCCTCCTGCTTAATGAGGCCACACCTGGAGTACTACATCCAGTTTTGGGCCCCCCACTTCAGAAGGGATGTGGGTAAGCTCGAGAGAGTCCAGTGGAGAGCCACCCATATGATCAAAGTCCAAGAGAGCAAGACTTACAAGGAGAGGCTGAGGGACATTTGTTTGACCCCAGTACTTTTTCCTACCCATGGCAGGGGGTTGGATTTGATGATCTGCTCAGGTCCCTTCCAACCCTACCAACTATGAAACTATTAGACATGGGACTCTTCAGCCTGGCGAACAGAAGGCTCAGGGAGGACATGGTGGCTGCCTATAAGTATATAAGGGGGGTGCACAAGGATCTGGGAGAACAGTTGTTCACCAGGGCTCCCCAAGGGATAACTAGGTCTAACTGCCACAAACTTCTAGAAGGCTGATTCAGACTTGATGTAAGGAAAAACTTCTTTACAGTCTAAGTGTCCAAGATCTGGAACAGACTCGCCCTAGAGGTGGTTCAAGCACCTACTCTTGACTCATTCAAAAGGCATTTGGACATTTATATTGCTGGGATCATTTGATCCCTGCAGACTTCTTGCCTGATGATCTCATGAGGTCCCTTCTAGCCCCTAATGTCTATGAAATCTATATGGGTATTTGAGGGGACCTGGTTTGCACTGAGCAAATGGCTGTTCTGGAGTGATACTGACAGTGGAAACAGGCTCCTGACAAACACACCAGGTTCCTTTCTCCAGAGTAAATTTACTTTTGATTTCTTCAAAAGAACTTTACCCTGGAGAACAGCATTTCCTCCAAAGTAAATACTGTGTGTCGTGTACCTGCTCTATTTTTTCTCCAGAGTAAATTGAGGATACTGCAAAATAAACATGTTTTATGTCCACACCTATAGTATTTTATGATGACATTGGTCTATGTAGTGTTTTTTTCTAGCTTGTGAGCATATTGATAATAGAGGCAATGACCCTCACTGGTGCCCGATACTCACTTTGAATGAGATGCATTTGAACAGGTCCTTCTCAGCTACCACGTCTTCAATCAGGCTCTTGTTCCCCCCAGTGTGTTCCAGTGTGGCACTAAGAGTCACGGTCTCATTGAGGTAGCTCAGTTGGATGCAGACTTCATTCGAAACCTCAGTTTGGATAAGGAAAGGCACTAATACCATGTACTGCCTGAGGAGGTGAAAGGCCCAGATCAGTGAGGCAGGGATATGTACTGGACAAATATGTTAATGAAAGGAAATGGACTGGTTTGATAGACTGATCCCATTGGGAACCCTTAGCAGTGGTTCCATCTATGGGGAGTTTTCACGAGGACTTGCACAGGAAGCAGTTTGTGGCCAGGACAGGACATGCTTCCCCAACACAATGTATTTGATTTGGGACTCCTGACACACAACTTGCCCAGCCTTGAGGAATACTGAATTGTTATTTCACAAGCCAGGGCACAGGCCCTGTGCAGCTGATGCTGAGACTTTGCTCTGGCAGCCTTCTTTGGAAGCTAACTGTGAACATTGCCTCAAACAGCAGAAGGTAGGGCAGGGTGGCACCATAAAAAGGCATTAGCCTTCACAGGCAACATCCCACTCTGTCAGCTAATATGAATGGACTTGCAGAAAGGAGGGATTTGAAATGGAACAGGGGTGATATTTTTTATTGGACCACCTGCAGAGTTGGGATAGACTTAGACAAGCTTTTAGGTACCATTGTGCTCTTCCTCAGGTCTCTCTACTCAGGAAGAGGGACCAGTTAGTGACTCTTGTTGCCAGGAACACTTGTTTAAAGCAGCCAGAGCAGGAAGACGGCCCCCGGCCAGAACCTCCAGCCGGAGGCAGCCACGGCCACAGCAGGGACCTCTGGCCCCTCAGAAAATGTCTACATTGCCTGCAACAGAGCTAGGGAGCACTGCTCTGAAAGCACCCCTGCCCAAGGCCCTGCTCCCAGCCCCAGCCTCAGGTGTGCTAATAGCCACAGAAATGTCACACGGCTGCCATTCAAGAAGCTCTAGGCACCAGCCAATAAGCATGTCTAAGCTCGGGAATGGCACTGAACCCGAGGCGACTTTGTCATTGCGGTGGTGCTCCCCAGCAGGGTGGGAGGCAGCATGAATGAGGCCACCGAGCCTTTCTGACTGGGCTGTCTCTGTCCTGAGCAGAGACAATGCTGGCCCCAACCTTCTCCCAACTCCTCTCTCACAGCTGCTTCTCCTCAGCACCCCTGGACACCTGCCCTCTCCTCCCCCCACCCTTCACCTCAGTGTCCTCCTTCCCCTCACTTTTCTTTCTCTTTACCTGATTTCCTCTAATTAATACACATGCCTCCCCCAAATAGGTGCATGACCATGCCCTTTGTTCCCGCACACGGTGCCACATCCCTCTTCCCCAGCCGTCTGCCCTGCGCATCTGGAAATTAAGCTTTGGGGGCAGGGACAGTTTGCTAGGCCATGTCTGTAGGGGGCCCAGGAGATTGGGCTCCCTTCTAGGTGGGTTTTGGGGGCCTCAGGAGATGGGCATATCCCTGGGAGGGGAACAGCTGAAATCTCTGCTGAGGGTTTCCAAAGGAAACTTTGCAACTCTAGCAGGTAATTGGACTCAAGCCACGAGCTGGCTACCCCACAGCGCAGCATCTCCTCAGACCCTGCAGAGGGGAGGGAGCAGCTGTGCCGCACATCCCAAGTGCTCCGGGGGCGTGTTGCACTAGAGCGTTTCCCTGCCGGAGCCTGTGCCAGCAGAGCTGAATCTAGGTCACAGACTCTCTCTGGGCACAAGCACCTTGGAAACTGCCAAGGGAAACACACTGGCTTTAAAGAAAGATGAGAAAGGGGAGAGAAATGATCGGGCACTCAGTCACAGGCAGGGGAACTATGGGGGAGAGATTACAAGGAAGCTGCCCCGATGCCCAGCTTCAGGGAAAGCCAAACACCTGAAGACTTTTAGGTAGGAGTATAGCCCGTGAGGGCCATGTGGACTGGGATAAAGAAGGTGCGGTGGCAGAGCTACGTGAGGTGCCCGGGACTCAAATGGCAGGGGGCTGTGAGCAGAAATGAGGGGCACTGGCAGAGCTGGGTGAGGAGCCCAGGGCTGGACGAGCAGGGGGCTGCAGGGCAGGAGTGAGGGGCACGGGCAGAGCTGTGTGGAGAATGGTGTACCAGTGTCAGGAAGGAGGGAAAGGAAAGGACAGGAAAGGAAAGACAGTAAGAGTCTGCTCTGTGCACATAGCTTACGGTTCGGTGGTGGCCGAGGTGTCTCCAGGGAAGAAGAAGAGGAGGAGGAGGACGATGCTTGGGCTGAAGGAGAGCTTGTCTTTCCCCATGTTGCAGAGCAGGACCTGGTGAGCAAGGCAGGCAGGCAGGCAGTCTGGTCCCCTGCACCTAGCACTGCCCCCTCTCTCTCTGTTGGGTCAGCCCTTTTATATTGCTCTTTGCAAACAGCCCACAGGACAGATGCAATAATGGCTGGGGGCCAGGACTTTCCTGGCAACAGGGAGAGGAATGTGAGGAGAAACTACAGGCAGTATCTTTGGATTACAGCAGAGAGAGGGTCCAGACACTGCCAGAGCATTGACTGGATGTGTTCAGGTGAGACATCTTCAGGCAAGGTTCTTTGACTAGATGTGATATCTTTTATTAGACCAACTGAGTAGTTCGAAAAAAGTTCTTGGCAAGCTTTCGGGTGCAGTCACCCTTCTTCAGACATAGGGAGTCTCTGCTAAAACTCCAAGGAATGAGAAAAGCTAAAAGTGGGGATGTAAATAGGTAGAAATTAGAAAGAAAAGGTAAAGCAGGTAAGGGAGGGGGAAGAAAGAAAGGGCGGGGCAGAGCAGGGAGGAGGCCAAAGGGAGACATTACAGTGATAGAATACATGGTAAAAAAGAGGCTGTCTGTGAAAAAGGAAATAGTTGGAGATCAGGAAAACAGTAATGACAGAAGTTAAAAGTATGACAGGATATCAGTGAAAATATAAATAGGTAGCAATTAGAAAAACAAAAGAAATGGGAAAGGAGGGGGAAGAGAGCAGGGGGGAAAAAGGTCAAAAGGAAATACTAAAGTGGTACTAATACAATGTAAAAAAGAGGCTCTCAATGAAAAGAAACAGTTGGAAGCCAGGAAGACAAGGGGTAAAAAAGTAGGGGAGGGGAGGAGAGGAAAGGTGGGGGGATGAGAAGCATGTCAGAGGTCAGGTCAGGCAGGTACCTGGTGAATCAGATGTCAGGCAGGCTGTAATGTGTCATAAATCTATATTGAGTCTATGATTTTTTGTATCCAGTAGATTTGTGAAGTGGAGTTCGTAGGCTCATCTACAAAAGGTGTTTTGTAAGTTCCCTTTGAAGATTAGAATTGAGAGACCGGAGAGGGAGTGATTGACCTGTGAGAAATGTGTCCCCACAGGTAGTTGGATCTTTTTGTCTTTGATGGATTTTTGGTGTGTGTTCATTCTGGTACACAGTTGTTGTTTGGTTTCTCCTACATATTTTCCATCAGGACATTTGGTGCACTGGATGAAATATATAACATTTCTGGAGGCGCAGCTGTAAGATCCAGGCCCAGTGATGGTTCTGGTGTGGGGTATAGTTCTTGTGGGGGTGGTGGAGATGTGTTGGAAGGTTTTGCATTTCTTGTCCTGGCATGGTTTGGATCATTCAGTGTGGTTTGGGTGATAGGGAGTGTGGTAAAAATATGTTATAATCTAGTCATTATGATTTTGCAATAACGTTTGTGTAGCAGCTGTGTAGTAAAAATGTCTCATCTCCCTACACAAAGGCTTCACAGCTGAGAACTGTTTGGCTTCACTACACAATTGCTTCTGCTTAGGCATATAGGCCAATGATAGATTTACAAGTAGCACTAGACTTCTACAGACATAGCTAGAAACAGATGCAACAAATAACTCCTTACGAGAGATAAGAGAAGAGGGACAGAGAAAGATGCTGATGTGAAAAACTCAGACCTTGACCGAAGAATGACCAAAATGGACTTAAGGACGGCCCCAGGGAGGAGATTTAAGATGTAAATGAGACATGTATATAAACTGTCATAGAACATGTACCTGCTAGACATATGTTATAAGACGTAATACTTGGGCTGCCAATAATTTCGTGACACATTAGAATCTTTTGTTTATGTTAGCTATAAAAAAGAACCCCAGACTCTGTTTGGGGTCGACACGGATTTGAGTAAATTAAGCTCCCTTGTTGAACTTGTTTGCAAACAATAAATCTGAAATTAAACCCAGCCTGTGTGTGTGACTCTCTCCTAGAGGTGGATTGGACAAGCCTCCAGGGGCACGAAACTAGCCGTTTGTGCAACAGGAGCTTGCTTCTGGTGATGAGGTTAGTGAGGTTCGGTGCTTGTTTAAAGGCTAGGATGGGTGTTTCTGGAAAGATCTCTTTAAGAATGGGGTCTTCTAGTATGGGTTGCAATAGTTTGAGGATTTTCTGTGTAGGTTCCCAGGAAAGGGTGATATGTCATAACTAATGGTGTGCAATCTGTGAAGATTGTCTTTTGTGCTGCAGCAAATCTTTATGTGGTATCTTGGTGACTCTTTCAAAAGTGTGATCTCTCTCTCTGGAGGAGTGTCCTTGTTGGCTGAAGGTGACACATCTTTGAACAATCTGTACCTCTGAAATCCTGCTCATTTAACTCCTTCTGGGTGGTAGGAATATCTCTAGTTTTGCACAGAGCAACTCCAGCATTATACAGGGGGTTGGCATATGCCTCTAAAACAATCTCCTTGTGACCAGAGAAATGTCTATTCCAAATCCCATGCACCTGAGGAGTAATATATTCAGATTCCTTTCCTCCCTGTTCCAGCAGGGAACATCAGTTCTGTGGTGCCAAACTGACCAGTACCACAACTGAAAGGGACCTAGGGTTAATAATAGACCGCAGTATGAATATAAGCTATCAGTGTGATGCTGTAGGCAGCAGGGCAAATAATACTCTGGCATGCATCAATTGATGCACCTCCAGCAAAACCAAGGTGATTCTTCCACTCTACTCAGCACTGGCAAGACCACAGCTGGAGTACTGCGTCCAGTTCTGGGCACTGCTCTTTAAGAAGGAGGTGGTAAAGCTTGAAAGTTCACAGAAGTCACCTGTATGATCAGAGTCTTGCACGGCAAACCATACGTGGAAAGGCTAAGGGACTCTTCAGCCTAAACAAAGAGAAGACTAAGAGGGGACTTGGTAGCAGCTTACCACTACATCAGGGGAGCACATCAAGGGCTCAGTGAACAACTGTCCACCAAGGCATCCTTGGGGAAAACCAGGAGTAATGGCCACAAACTCTTAGAGGACTGTTACAGGCTCAACATTAGGAAGAACTTCTTCACAGTCAGGGTGTCCAGACTGTGGAATAAGCTCCCTCCAGAGGTGGTGTAGTCTCCTACCCTGGAAATCTTCAAAAGGAGACTGGACAGTCACCTTGCTGGGGTCACCTGACCCCAGTTGTCTTTCCTGCCTAGTGCAGGGGGCTGCACCCGATGATCTTACGCAGTCCCCTCAAGCCCTTACAATCTATGAATCTGTAAACCCTTGCCGGCACGCTAGGCCAGGCGAGATGCCACATTCTGGATCCCCAGGGTGCCAGTAGCCCTGGGACCCACCTCAGGCATGTCTGCTGACTGAGGTGCCCCTTGAAGAGGTGTGTCCCTCAACCTCACTGCCCAGGAATTCACTTTAAGTCCAATAAACAAATGGGTTTCTTTATTATATACAACTACACAGAAAATAAATGATTAATCAAGATACATAGAAATAAAATATCAATAATTAACAATAAAACCAATTTGAATGGAATTTACAGCTGCAACAATAGATGAATAATTCCACCATACTAGGTGGTCCCACTTGCATCAAGACAACCTTAATGATTACATTCACCTGGTTAAAACAGCTTCCCCCCTCCTCCCCCCATAACCCAGGTTGATTTCCCTCTGGTCACACTCCCCTTCCCATAACAATAAATGGCAATACAGCTTTAGCTATGATCCAGCACTAGATGGCAGAGGCAAGGCTTCTGCTGTTCTGGGGAAGATGGACTGTTTGGTTCCTTTGCAAAAACAAGTCTCTGACCAGCACTGCAGGTAATAGACTTCTTTTCTTTAGTTTCCTTCTAAAAAAATACACCTTCAAACACTAGGGGTTAAGTGTACCCTCACACACCCATGCAGATTTGGGACTCTCAGAGCCCCTCTCTGGGCTGCCTCTCTCCCACAGCACCTCTGCATGCAGACAGGGGATTTCCTCTGCAGGCCTCTGTCCCTGCTGTACAAACCTTTCCAGCCCAAACAGGACTTCCTTCTGCAGGTCCCTGACCAGACAGCTTCTCCCAGCTAGCTTACCAAGCCCTCCCCACTCTTTGCACCACTCCCACCCGCCAGGGAAATCAGATCCCCAGCAAGCCTCATCTCAATCCCCTCTGCCTGGTGAGGAAGAAGGGATTGAGTCTTTGCCCCTCTCTCCAGGCTGGTGTCATTCTCCTCTAGCTTCTCCCTCCTGCTTTTCCCTCCCTCAGCTTTTTATGGCTAATAGTAGCCAACCAGAGCCCAGGGTTTGCAATTGGGGCTCAGGTCACAGTTCAAATGCTCCAGTAAAAAGCAGGGGTTTAGGTTGTAGCTGTGTTGGTCTAAGGACAATAAATATTAAAGTTATCAAATTCACCCAAGGAACCATGTCTGTCAGTAAAAAGCATGCATTGTGCACAGCATACTCTCTGTTTGGAAAAGCTATTTCACCCTCTGCAAAGTTTTTGCTGCCTTTCTTGCAAAGTTCTTAGGCACAGCTCACCCACTCAGCTTGCAGCCAAGCAAGCCCTTGCAGCTATTACAAATCTATGAATCACCATTTTGCATACTGTTGCCCCTGCCACATGGCCTCCCTCTGATCTGGCTGCATGTAGGCGGCTGTGTTTGCTGCCAGAATTAACACCTTTAGTAAAGGATACCAGGAGATCCTGGGTACTCAATAGCTTATGGCTCCTCTGCCCTCAGTAGCAGCTCACTCAGCAACAATTCTTCTGCCAGTCGTCCTCTCAGAAGCAGCTGTCCTGGTAGCACCCCCCCCAGCAGCCCTTCTCATTGCAGTTACTCTCCCACCAGCCCTTGCATGCATGCATTCTGCAGCCTTCAGCTCCAAGCTGTTTATCTCTGTTGCTATCTGTGGGCACAGCCTGCTGCAAATTACTATGCCAAGAGTGCAAACGCCCTGATTGGGCTTGCAAGTTCTGAGCAAGCCCTTCAGCACCTTTCCACTTACTGACTGTGAACCTAAAACCACTGAGTGGCTGGGTCTCCCTTTCCCTGAAACTGAGGAATAGGGATATGAAATATTTGCCAGCTGCCATGGTGAGAAGGACAGGTAGGTGCCCATGGGGACCCAGACTCTGCGGGGGTCATATCTATTCA